TTACAACTGTCTGTAACCCTAGTCCTAGGGAATCTGACACTTCTGGCCTCCTTGGACACCAAGCACACATGTGCACAGATATACATGTAGGCAAAATACCCATACACATAAAATAATTCAAAACAAAACATTAAGTCAGGGATGGATCTCAGTGGTAGAGTGTTTACCTAGCATACATGAGGTCCCAAGTTCTAATCCCGGCACAAAATAGAAACAGTAGAAGCTAAGAAAAATCAGACTTTCACATTTACAATGATGGACCTGTGCATGGTGGTAGAGGGAAGAGGATTCCCTCTTGGGTGGATCTTTGGCTGCATATCAAGTCTGAGGGCTGCCTGAAGCACAAGAGATTCTGTCTCAAAAAACAAACCAAAATAAAATGAGGACCAATGCAGAAGTGGTCTGTTTAAATAAGTCGATTCGCAGCCAGGGCCTGGACCTCTGTGGACCCCAGTGACGGGCAGTTGCACCATCGGCACCTCACAGCCCTCGAGAGGCAGCACCCAAGGGGCAGAAACCTTTTGTGGCTGTGACACGTGCTGTGACACATGGAACAGACCACGTGTCCTCTAGGTCTCTGCTGTCCCATTTATCACAAAGGAAAACGAATTCTTGCTTGCCTCCGAGTGTCCCCTCAAAGACTGAACGTTAATGACAGGGCTTTGTGAACCATTAAGCACAGCTCAGAGGTGCCTTCTGCAGGGACCTTCGGAGTCATGGCAAAGAAGATTGGAGATTATTCCCACTGCGGGTGGGAAGTGGGGTTTGGATAATCCCCATAAAACAGCAGTAAGTGGACAGGGCTGTAGGGCAAGCAAAGCAACCACAGAATGCGTACATGGTGAACAGAGGCCATACCTGAAGAATGCCAATCACCTTTTTGGCTATAAAAGGGCCAAAATGAGATGCTTTTGATAAGCTCACGCCTTTGTAGTCTGCGAGAATTACAATTCCGTTCACTTGGGTCTCTTCGGACTGAATGAGTTTTTCTAATGTCAAGTATATGGCTCGGATGTTCTCAGTGATTGGATAGTTGCTCGGTATCCATCTGTCTGAAGTCACAAAGATAGACAGCATTATAGAATGAATACAAACAAGTGCTCAGATGCATCTTCTAAAACCTCAGCTTTGCAATGGAAGAGAAAGACATGTCACCAAGATCCTGACCAGCAGTTGACATTTCCTAACCTCCCAAACCCAGCAGAACATCTGGAGATGAAAACACAATTGAGCCTTGAGGTTAAAAGCATGAGCTCTGAAGTCAGGAAGACAGCTCTGACTTTTACGATCTGTGTGACCTTGGGCAAGATGCTTTAGTACTCTGACCCTCTGCCCCCCAGCCCCCAGACAGGGTTTCTCTGTGTAGCCTTGGCTGTCCTGGAACTCGCTCTGTAAACCAAGCTGGCTGTCCTGGAACTCGCTCTGTAAACCAAAGATCTGCCTGCCTCTGCCTCCCAAGTGCTGGGATTAAAGGTGTGCACTGGCACTTTCCGGCTGAGCCTGTCTCTTAAGTAAACAGGGTAATACCTACCTTCTTGGCCACCTCTGCTTCCTGCCCTAAATGGCATCACACCACACCTGCTTTTCCACTCTGGCCACACAGGTTGCACAGGACTGACTTGACTTGAGATGACTCCAGGGAGGGTGACAATGGGGACTGTCTGGCCAGTCTGGTAGACATCCTAGCCACAGCATGCGGTCCAAACCAGGTCCCACAGAACCAGACTCCATCTAGGGTGTGGTTCTTGGGAAAGAGAAGATCACTCCTCCCTCGCACAGCAGTAAAGCTGTGAGACCGAGGTTCAGGGGCTCATGAGACCAGAGTTGGTCTGAGAATGAAGCCCATGCCAAGGCTGGCGGAGATGGAATCACCTCTCTAGTTGTCCCCAAATCTAACTGAACCCAGATGTCACCTGAGCAAATGAGTTTTTGTTCCAACTGATAGAAGCTGGCTTTTGGTTTGTCATGTAAAGAAGCGTCCTAACTCACATACAACTCCAGGGTGTTACAGGATGGAGCACAGCTATGTTCCACGAGGCCCTTGCTCAAATTCCTCCTTACAGGAAGGATGCTTCATTAATATTTGCATATTTAATGATTCTTCCCTTTGGGAAGAGAGTACAAATGAAAAACACGATGGTATTTTTGAGCATTAATCACTATTCTTTTTCTCTTCTTACTGTTTCTTTTTGGCAGGGGTGAGGGGTTGAGACAGAGTCATTCTGTATCCCAGGCTGGTCCTGAACTTTCAAGGATCCTCTTGGGTGTTGAGCTAGTAGGCACAGGCCACCATGCCCAGTTGGAAACTACATTCTCGAGAAAGTCTTTCCCAAGACCTTATATCCCGTAAGACAGGGAGACGAAGACACGAAGACAGAGCCTAGTCAGGTGCTGTGGCTCACTCACATCCCTAATCTCAGCACTTGGGAGGGAGTGGTGGTAAGAACAGGAGTCAAAGGTCATCTCCAGCTACACAGAAAGTCCAAGGCCAGCCTGGGCTACATGAGACCCTATCTCAAAAAAACGAGAGTCCCTCCCCAGATGCCGGGGAAGCCGAGTCACAGTCCTCAGTGGTGCCAACCACTGGAAAGATCCTCTCGCTCAGGTAAATAACCCCTACCCCATGCTCAAGCAAGCAAACCTAATTAAACGCAGGGGGCCACTCCCCACCCCACTGCCCTCCAAGGGGTGGGTGGGGCAACACAGACCTGAGCATTGGAGGACTTCTTGGGGAAGAAGAAGGGGTTTGGGGACTCAGAGGGAAGGGCGATAAAGGATGATGGAAGATTATGGTCAAAGTAATTATATATATATATATGTATGAAATCAGGAAAGAATGCATTAAAAAACAAAATTTCATTTTGCTAAAAATGGGATATGGAATATACACAAAATTATTTTTGAATATGTGTGTATGATACATGTATGTACCTCTTTATGTGTGAGGGGACACGTGTGCCATAGAGCATGTATGGCGGTCAGAAGACAACCCAGGTTGTCACTTTCCACTTTTACTTGGGTTCCAGGGATCCGAACACTGCACTTGTGGGACAAGAGCTTTCACCTGCTGAGCCTTTTCACGGCCTGTACACAGTTCTCATAACAGGCCTCTGCCAAACTTGGTGATTAGTGTTCGTGTGAACTAAGCCTGCCTCTATACAACTGGATATCATCTTTTCAGTCACATACATCTCAAAAAGAGCTTAGAAGAAAGCAAAGTAAAACCCAATTCAGAACACAGCTTTGCAGGTCCGCTCCTTCTAAGAGCTGGGTCGGTGGGGAGGGGGCCAGATCTCATCCCACACAAGGAGAAAGTCATCTCACAGGCACAACCACGTGCCAGGAGGAGGCAGGGCCATGTGACATCTGATAACACTTCTGAGCTGAGCTCACAGCAGCATGACAAAGCTTGCTGGCCAGTTTCTAGGTCTCTGGGTGCTCAGCAGTCTGCACTGCTTATTTGAAACAAACACCTAACTTTGGAAGAGCCCAGCACGGCAGGCAAGGCGGCTCCCGCGATGTCTGCCTGACACACGCGCAGGGTGAAGAGAACGGTCTAGACGGCAAAGACAGCTTAGTGAACGGCTGGAAGGAAGCGTGGTGTGAGGCATCCAGGCAGAGGAAAACAGATGGAGAGGGCTGTGCCGCCAGACACCCCGTCGGGTGAATCTGCAGGCACAGGGCTGTCAGCGCGTGCTCACTTTCTGGCCTGCTTAGGAGGAGTGCTGTAACCTTTCACCCTCCCCTGGGCTCTGCAGTGAAGAAACTGCAGGGGCTGTGAGTGGGGGGAGGCCCTTTCCTCAACTATGCCTGGTGCCAGAAGAAGGACCCGATTAGGCATCCCGCCCCCTCCACGCACTAGCTAACATTTCTAATTCCCCCCTTTAGCTTCTCCTAGGGCCACGATCTCTAATCTCTCTGTGGGGGCTCCCCTTGCAAACGGGAACAAGCTTTTCATTATCTTTCCTGATGCCTCAGTTACCACCTCCTCTCTACTGTGAATAGCAGAGGTAATCCATCAGGAAGCAGGACAAATGGATGCAATGTTTATTTACCTTTGAGTCTATCACAGTTCTTTATGCAATGTTAAAAAGATGCTTTTTAAAAAGCTGGGCACACGCCTTTGGTCCCAGCACTCGGAGGCAGAGGCAGGTGGATCTCTGTGGGTTTGAGGTCAGCCTGCTCTAAATAGAAAGTTCCAGGACAGCCAAGGCTACATAGAGACCTTATCTCAAAAAGCAAAATAAAATAAAATATAAAGAAAAAAGACGCATTTTTTTTTTAAAGTGAGCTACAACGTGTACCACTATAAAGTGTTGGTATCAGAAAATGAATCAAGGTGTTCTGATCATAGCTCAGTGGTACAGCTCCTGCCCAACAGGTACACACCAGGGTTTCATTCCCAGCACCACAAAAACAAACAAACAAACAAACAAACAAATAAATAAACAGAACCTGGTGAGGGTCTAACCCAACAGAGGAGGGAGGAGGGAGAAGGCAGGAGACAGAGTGGGCCCCTTTCCAGGCTTCTGTCCAGCCCACACTGTCTCACTTCTATCTGTCCTCAGCCCACTCAGAGGAGGCGCTGGGAGGGGCTTGGCGATCATGCCTGCACCCCGTGACCAAGAACAGACTCCTCGGCCCACTGCATTCTCGCCTTTGGAAATCTGAGTTTGCACTAACAGACAGACGTTCACTGAGTAGCCAGGTGAGCCTGAGAGCTGAAAGCGGCCGATTTAGCTTTGCCGTGTTTCAGGAGGAAAGTATGGAGAAGCTGTCTGTGCCCAGCAGACAGTCCTGGGGCCTGTGCTGTGGGGTCTAGGACCTGGTAGGAGTGGCAGCAACTTCAGTGTGGTAGATCTGGGAGCTGTTTCTGCCTTGTTAGGTCAAATCTTCCTGTGGTCCTCAGTTACCCTGAGGATGGTTTTGTCATCTGCAGTCAAAAGAGCTTTGAGGCCAGGCATGGTGGTGGTACACTGTGGGTGCCCACAGAGGCTCCCTAATAAGACCTTACTCAAGGTCACAGAATCTGAGCTTGCTTTACCCAGCAGGGGTGTATAAAGGGATGAGTTAGCCAAGGGCATGGTTACCAGGTGTTTTGAAGGGTCTACACTTGGTTGTGTGCTGTGTTTTGGTTTTGAAAGGGGGAGGTCTTTTGTCTTTCACCTTGGCAGTGTATAAAAAACCCATTAGAATAAATTTTGAGGTGGCTGGGTATTGACTCAGGGCCCTCCCGAAGCTATCCTGTATCTCTGTCTTTCTCTCCGCCTAGGCTTATATTTCTATCTAATACTTCCTCATTTCTCCCTCCTCCCCACAAGAACCCTTCGACAGGTCGGAGCTGGACTCCCAACTGTACACACTTAAAATCTTAGCACTTGGGAGGTAGAGGCAAGAGGGTCAGGAGTTCAAGATCATCCTTGGCTGCATAGTGAGCCTAGACTGTTTTAAAAAGCCAAAACCAAACCAAAAAAAAGAACCTTCACTAAAACAAGAAAGTGGGGGACCTATGAGAGAAAGCAGGGTAAAAGACAGACCCATCCCAATACCTGGTCGGATGCAGAGGACATGGCAGCCCCTGGGGTCCGTGTGGGGCAGCACTGTGAGGAATCCGGAGTCAAGAACATCTTTCAGGGCGGAGGGCCTCAGGTTGCTGAAGACCTCTGGCCAGCTCCGCCTGCAGCCATGGTAGTTGACCAGCAGCTGCAGGGCCCGGTCATAATCAAACTTTCGGGCCCGCAGGAAGCGCAACAGGAAGGCATCATCCAGCGAGGTGCTCAGGTATGGGTACTCCTTCCGCACCATGTCTCGGAGGGCCTGCACATCCCGGAGTCTCCATTCAGGCTTCTCCTGAAGCTCTTCCCTGGCTTTGGTGACCAAGTCTTCCGTCAGCGAGCACACGTAGCCGGGAGGCTCGGGCGGAGGCAGTGGCAGCTCATTTTCGGAGAGTGAGGCCACAGAGGGGCTGGTTCTCTGAGAGTCACTTTCTTCTGACATGAGCTATCGGGGGTCCCTGCTGACACAAAGGCCACAAGTGGGGGTCAGAGAGTGCAGCCTTACACCTGCCTTACACTATGGGCCTTGTGACCGCTCAACAGGTAACGTTTGCCACACAAGCCTAATGACTGGAGGCTGATCCCGAGAACCCACAGAAAGATGAAAGGAGACGCCGGATGGTGGGGCCGCACGCCTTTAATCCCAGCACTGGGGAGGCAGAGGCAGGCGGATCTCTGTTAGTTCGGGGCCAGCCTGGGCTACCGAGTGAGTTCCAGGGCAGACTTCAAAAGCTACCCAGAGAAACTCTGTCTCGAAAAACCAAAACCAACCAACCAACAACAAAAAAAAGATGAGACAATTGATTCCACACTCACAAACTTGCACATATGCGTGCATGTAATTTTTAAAAATTATATTTACTATTAATATTCTATTTATTTGCCTTTATTTTTGAGTCAGAATCTTTTTTTAAATTTATTTTTACTTTATGTTCATTGGTGTTTTGCCTACATATATGTCTCTGTGAGGGGTGTCAGAAGCCCTGAAACTGAAGTTACAGACAGGTGTGAGTTGCCCTATGGGTGCTGGGAATTGAACCCAGGTCCTCTGGGAGAGCAGCCAGTGCTCTTAACGACTGATCCATCTCTTCAGCCCCCGTGCATGTAATTTTCAAGGTCAAGCATTGCTTACATGGGACCCCAAGAGTGGGAAATGGGGGGCTGGGAGTTTTTGCCAGGTTTTTTTTTTTTTTTTAGAGTCTCACTATGTAGCTCAAGGTGGTCTGGAACTTGCTAGCCTCCTCAGCCTCTAGTGTGCTGGGATTACAGGTATGTGCCGCCATGTCCAGCTTGTCTGAATTTTT